CCGTCGAGCGCCGACAACCAGTGCGACCAGCAGTGCCTCGGCCACCCCGTCCTCGGCCTCGGCGGCCTCGGCCACGAGGTGCGCGTCGAGGTGGCCGCGGACCCCTTCATCGTGAAGCACCAGCAGTTGGCGGACCAGGAGGCCGCGCCGGCGGGGATGGTGGGGCCGATGATGGGCCCCGTGGAGCGCGAGCTGTACGCGCAGGCCAACCAGCGGCCGCCCAGCGGCGCGGGCCTGGCCGTCCCGGGCGCCGTCACCACCTTCCTGGAGTCCCCAGAGCCGCCACCCGGCAGCCCGGGCCTCGGGCACTTCTCGGAGCGCTCCGGATCTTGGGAGATTTCCGAGCGGCCCGCCAGCGGCTGCCGACTCAACGAGGGTTTCGAGCTGTCCTCCGAGGACGACGAGTCCTCGACGACGACCATGACCCCCGAGACCAACGGCGCGCTGCAGCCCAACGAGGTGCCGCGGCCACGGCGGTCCCGGCGGCCGCGGTCGACGGCCAGCGACTCGACGCTGACGCGCTGCCGCCAGTGGGCGCACCAGGCGCGGCGGTCGCTGCGCGTGGGCGGCGCGTCCTCGCGGCCAGTGTCGCACTGCTTCAGCAACCCGCTGTCCGAGGCCACGCCGCCGGCCGCCGTCGGGCCCCTGCCCGTCGACTCGTCCAGCTTCTTCCACTCGGCGGAGGCGCCGGGGTCGGCCGCAGACACGCCGTCGGCGCGGTCCTCGGTGGCGGCGGCGTACGACCGGTCCTCCATGGTGGAGCCGCAGCGGCAGTGGTCCCTGGACTGGACGGCGGCGCTCAGGGGCAGGCCGCACTCCGTCGCCGTGGGCCGCGGCAGCGAGAGCCACGACGCGTGGTGAGTACCCCGACAAGGCATGCACCACACCGTCAACCTTTGCAATGTCTGCCCTTAGTCCCGGCCCTGAGACCCCCACCCCGCCTGCAGGCAGAGAGGAAGTGCTAGTTGGTGGTCATGCTTTCAGACTACTGGTGGAGGTGCAGCACAGGGCAGGTCGCGGCGAGGCAGGGTGCCGGCGCGCGGGGTGAGTCCTCGGGAGCTAGAGTCCTTACCCGTAGTGCCCACCCCCCAAAAAGGCGTACCACAGCCCCTCCCCACGTCCACCCCCAAAATTGTCGTCCCTTTTTTGGCCCGGCGGCGGTCGTCCTGCTTCCCCCTCCCCTCGGCGTCTGCAAGTCGCGGCACTCGCAGGGGGGTGCTACTGGCGGTGCCTCGTGTTGCTGCGAGTGTGTGAGTGTGCGACTGCGAACGGGTACCTACCGGATTGAGACAGCTCCACTCTGCAAATAGGCGGGGAGGTGACAAGAACCCGCCTACACGTGACCAATTTGACGGCCAGTGCAAAGCCAAAATCGAAACCCAAAAAAATCTTGCGTTGTATTTGCGTCGTGTAAAACGGCTGCCTGTCGGTAGTTGAACCTAAGTCTGCCCGCGTCAAGGCCGGTCGCGGTATCCACAGCGCTGTGGTTTTGTGAGCAGTCGCTCTGACTGAAATCATCCTCCAGAATAACACTTAGTGCGTGTGCAAAAGCGGCAAGGCGCTGGCTTGCTGCTGCCCATCTCCGGCCCCGCGTCGTGCTCCGTGACGCCCCGCCCCGCCCCGCCCCGGGCTTGCGCCGCGGCACGGCGCGGAGCCCCAAGGTCGCCGGTTCTTTTTCGTTGCCGCTCTCCTCCAGCGATCGTCGCTTCGTTTCAAACTGGGGCCAGAGGCCGCCCTGCCTGCCCTGCCCTGCGAAGCCTAGACGCCCTATGGTGGCCCCGCGCCGGCGCGCCGCACGACACGGCTTGGCGGTCATCGGGCCGGCCGCAGCTGCTTTCCTTGTTGTTGTTTTTGTTTCAAAGTTCCGTCCAACAAAAGACTTACAGTGAAGGCGAACGGATAGGGGGCAACCAATCAAAAAATCATGTGTCCACTGAAGCGCCGGAAATCTATGGAAATCTGAAATCTTCCCTGAAACGATAGGCAAAAAACAAGCAAATTTTGGGCGTGAAATCGGTCGAAATCTGGCGAAATCCGACGAAATCTCTTTCTTTCGGATATCTTGTGTCCCCAAACATCCTAAAGCGACTGCCGCCCCGGCGACCGAGCTCCCTTTCTCACTGAGGCGTTGTGCGGCCGCTCCAAGCCCCACCCTCCAGGGCCTCCAGCCCGCGGAATTTCCGTTCCGTTTTGACTGGTGGCCCGTCCGCTGCTAGTCCACTGCTGGTCGGCCGCGCGGAAGAGTTGCGGCCTTAGTCGCCCAGGCGGCATCTGTTCTACACCTGTTAGTTCTAGTTCAATGGGCGGTCACCCGAAGGACGGCCCGGGCCGGGCCGGCCTAGCCGCCAGGGCGACGCCGGGGCCTTCGGCCATGCCTTCGGCCTCCAGCGAGGCGGACGCCGGCCGCCTTGAACTGGAGCGACAGGCGCGGCCGCAGAGGGAAGCCCCTCCGCGCGCCGCAGCCCACAGTGGGCCAGAAGACCGCTGGAGGCGGTCAAAATCCCCGACGCGTTTTGAGCTCCAGAGTCGCTAAATGGGACTAGAACCGACCGTGTGGCCCCACCAATGGATTGCTCTCCGAACGAGGAATCCATTGGTGGGGTCACACGCTCGGTTCGAGTCCTGTTTAGCGACAAAGCTCAAAAGTCGTCTGGAGTTTTAGCCGCCGGCGCCGGTCTTCTGGCCCACTGTGCAGCGACGAACGGAACGGAACGAAAAAGAAGGCCACCCGAATCCGCGAGCAGGGAGCAGGGTGTTTCCATTTCAAAACGCGGCGCCACTAGAAAGTTCGATTCAATTCCGGCCAGGTTCGTATTCTTTTGTTTGGTTTCCCTCGTCCGCGGTAAATCATAGGTATCGCCGAAGCGCGCGGAACTGCGCTGGAAACCCTTCGGTAGGACTGGGCGCGCTATCGCCACCCAGAAGCTTCCTGCCGCTAGTGCCCTTTTCCCTTGGGGTTTCCTGCTAGCGCCCTGTCCTGAGCGCTGTCTTGGGCCCGTCCTGGGCACTGCCCTCGGTGACCTTCCGCCACCCGGACGGAAGCCTTGTGTCCATCCTGTGCATGGAGACACATCCCTTGGTGGGGCGGGGTGCCGCCATCTCCGGGCTAATCTCTAGCGCTGCCCAGAACAGACCGAGGCGTTACACTTTCAAAAGCCGGACGGAGGCTGCTGCCGCACGCCACCGCTGTCTCACGAGGGCCTGGGGCGGGGCGGGGCGGGGCGGGGTGAAGCCCGTCCAGGGTCTCTTTGCTCTTCTTTGCGTCCGCGGCGCCGTGTCGCAACGACCCCTGTGTGAACAGCCTTGCTGCCTTCCTCCGCCGCCCCGCCCCTTCCTACCCCCTCCCCCAGCACCCCCGCGCGCACATTGGAGAAAGGCATTCCGGCCAAACAATCGCGTGTCAAAGTGAGTCAAGTAGCCGCGGCCTGGCTGTGCGCTGGCTTTGCTTGCCGCCGCTCGTCATCGTCATCGGCGCTGTTAGGCCTCAGCAGACCTTTAGCGTTCGAGTAAGCAACTACAACAAACACAGAACTCAGACTGCAAACCTCAAATGCAGGCTGTGTCTTGTCTGAGGCAGCCACCCTCTACTGGGGGGGTATGGGGCAACCTCCGTGGAAGTATGACCCATCCCAGGTTGAGGAAAGTGAGGTTCGTTGCCTTTGGACCCTTGAGTGTTGTGGAGACAGTGGAGGATGCATTGCGGTGTAGCATGGCGCCAGTCCTGCTCCTCACGTAGTTGTCGAACCTCTTCATTGCGGGACTGCGCCGCAGATGCGACGAACTGCACTGAGGCGGGGCTGCTGAAGCTGATGAAGCGGCGCCGTTGTCCACGAGTCTCTTTCAGAGGAAGTATCCCTCCAGCCGGCGGCCCCGCACGACTCCGCGTCCCGTTGACGTTGGCCCAGGAGGTGAGTGCACGGCCGATCACGGGAAGCTTCGCGGATGGCGGCAGAGACACGGTAGAGGAGAAGAGCAGTGGAGGCTTGGTGCGGTGGAATTCCGCAGTGGCGCGCCGCAAGCCTCGCGTTGCCGAAACAGTCCGCCACCTCATGCACGAAGCAAAGCCCGACCAACCAACGACAAGAAAGAAATTCAGCGTGATAAAAAGGCCCCCCGATACTATCTTTAAATTAAGTTTCTGCGGCGCGAGCAGTTGGTGGTTTATCTCAAGTCAGCACGCGCGAGATTCTGCTGTGTTTCTGCCGGCTTTTTGCCGGCGTTTTGCTGGCTTCTTGCTGCCGGTCCTAACGAGCTCGCCCTGCCTTTGCAGCTCGAGCTGTGGGGCCGACGACATCGACTGGAGCTGGGTGCAGGAGGAGGAACGGCGGCAGCGAGAAGAGGGAGAGGTGGCGGCGGCATCTGGGCGTCGGCCGCGTCGGCCAGAGCCTGAGTCACCGCCGCCATGCACGCCGCACGACTCCGGCCCCTCCGCCGCCCCCACCACGCTGGAGTCTCCAGCTCCAGCTCCGGAGCCGCGGCTGGCGTCCCCCGGGTCGCCGCGCCGCCCGGTCAGTGCCGTGTCCGCCGCCATGCTGGAGGCAACGGGGGCCGTCGCGGCCGGAGGCCGAGCCGGAGGCCCCGCGGACGGCGGCGCCACCAACTGGAGCTACCAGTGCGACGAGCGGTCGGACGAGGACGCCGATGCGACCGGCACGTCCGCGACGGCGACGCCGCGCCAGCGCTCCAGGCCGTCGTCCTGGCTGCGGGCCTCCATGAGGCGCGTGCGCCACTTCCGCCTGGCCGACCAGCACCCCGACAACCGGCGCAGCGCGCCGCCCGACGTGGCCCTGCCGCACCTCCCCGCCAGCACCGCGGCCGTGCTGCTGGCCGACAGCACGGAGCGCGTCGTCCCGGTCACCAGCACCCCGCGGCCGCGCTCCGCCCCCGCGGGCCCCACCCCCGGCGCCGTGAGGCAGTGCGGTCGCGCCGCGTCGCGGCCCTCGTCCAGGACGGTGCTCTCCACGAGCTCCTCCGCCGTCGGCACGCCCTCGCACCGCACCGCCAACCTCTCGTCGTCGAGCTCGTCAAGCTCCTCGTCGTCGTCCTCGGACAGCAGCGGCCCCAGCCCCGCGGCGTCGCCGTCCAGAGGATCGTCGTCCGGCCGCCGCCGCAGCAACGCCAGGTCAGTGAACAGTGCAGTGTCGGACTCATTGTCCTCTCGCCCCACTCATTTGCATGCCTTTGCATGCTGCCTTGCCAGTCCTGCTAAATTGAACGCAGGGGACTTGCAGTGCAGGGGCGTCTCGCAGACTCCCTTTGGGTCGCTTTTGATCGCTATCCCGTTCCGAACTTGGTTTGCGCTGCGTCCGAGAGTATCCACGACACTGTGCATCCTTGTCGCACGCTGGCCTTTCAAGCCGATTAGAACCGCGGCTTATTTTCGCGACAGGAACCCATTGCAATAATGGCGGTCATCGCGGCCCGCCTTCGGGTCCTCGGCGCGCCTCGGCGGGGGGTCGCTCGCTATCGGCTCGGTCCTCGTTGGGCAACGCCGAAGGCAGCCAAAGGCAGCCAAAGCCATGCCTGACCCGAAAGGCCAATTATAAAGGAGGAAACCGAGTCGGGCGCGTGCCGCGGCATGGCACGGCCGCATGGCACGGCCGCATGGCACGGCGCACAGCGACAAAGTAGGCACCGCACGACCTGCGCCACGCTGCGCCAGCAGACTCATTCGGAGGGTCGTTTCAGTCGCTCTGTCTCTCTCGCACTCATAGGGCGTCCCGAATAGGTGCGAGAGAGACAGGCGAACGACTCTCAGTCTGCAGGCCGGGCCGGTCGGGCCAACAAGGCCATGATGCAACGCGCACGCCGTACGCCCCCGCAGCGTTTGATCCGATTCCGAGTGGAACATGAGTGAGAACTGGGGCAGCGCCGGCAGCGCAGTCGCATGGGGCGCGGCGAGCCGGCGGCGAGCCTTGGCTGCATATCCAGCAGTGCCCGCGACCCGACCCGCCACCTCCAGGGTGATTGCCTCGAGGAGAAATGCTCTTGGCTTGGAGAAATGCCCTTGGCCCGGAGACATACTCTTGGCTCGGAGACATACTCTTGGCTTTGGCTTGCAGGCTCTTGGCCTGGAGGAATATCTCGTCTTGGTTTGGGTGTTGTTGGCCTGGAGAAATGCTCTTGGCCTGTGTGATTTTGGCCTAGAGAAATGCTCTTGGCCCGGAGAAATGTCCTTGGCTTGGAAAAATACTCCTTGCCTGTAGAAATGCTCCTGGCCTGGATAGCTACTCTTGGCTTGGAGACTCTTGGCCTAGAGAAATGCTCTTGGCCCGGAGAAATGCTATTGGCTTTGGGGCTGCGTTAACTGACTTGTTGAAAACGCTCTCTGACGCATGTGCGTTTAGGTGTCACTGGAGGTAAAATTAAAACACCCACTCAAAATAGGTAAACATTATTGTCGCGGTTCTTTGCCGTTTGTGCTCGATGCTCGACTCTCGGCTCGAGGTCCAAATCATCGCAGGCGAGGGAGGGATGAGCGATAGCGTGTCCTGCTGGGACCATCGCGGTCCTTGGCACGTCATTCCCCGGCCCGCCATTAGGTCGAATCTGCGATTAGTCCCCAAGCGAGTCCGTCCGCCTGTCGACACAATGCCGCTTGCGACAGGCTGACCAGCCCACGACGTTCAGGTCCACCTTGAGGGTCTCCACGGCGAGGAGCGCAGCGCGCCTGCGAGGCGGGCCACCCTCCTGCTTGCGCGCGTGCGTGTCGTGCAGGGATGCCTATCTCGACTTCGCAGGCGCTCCCTGACGACCAACAGTGGGGCGGCCAAAACCCTTGACGCGTTTTGAGATCCAGAGTCACTGAATGGGACTCGAACCGAACGTGTGACCCCACCAATGGATTGCTCTCCGAACGAGGAATCCATTGGTGGGGTCACACGTTCGGTTCGAGGCCTGTTTAGCGACTCTGGAGCTCAAAACGCGTCTAGAGTTTTGGCCGCCCGCGCCGGTCTTCTGGCCCACTGTGCTCCGCCCGGCCTTGCCCTTCCCCGCCGGCGACAGTCGACCACAAAAACCTTCCAACAAAGAAATATCGCAGCGGAAAAAAGGCGCGGCGGCGGGGATTGAACTCGCGGAAGCTCCGTTACTACTGGCTGGTGGCCGGGGATCCGCGAAGCGGCGAAGCGGATGTAGGCAGATTACTGGGTCGGCAGGAGGCGTGTCGCGGGGGTGTGGCGGCCAAGGAGTCGGGAGTGGTCAGTGTGCGGGGCGGGGCGGGGCGGGGCGGGGCGGGCGGGCCGGAGGCGGCGCGGCGGATGAACGAAGGGTAAGGGTGCCTGAAAGGTCACTGGAGTACGGAGTGCAGGCGGCACGCTGCGCTCAATGCAGGCCACGGTTCTCATCGGAGAGGCACTGGCACACTGCTACGGAGAGTTCCCCAGGCGAGTCTGCGTCGTTGCTAGAAAATGACCATTTCCAGAGGGGTACTCTCGCACAGGGGGGCTTCCCTCGAACCGGCAACGCTGGGCGCGCTGGCGCTAGGAACGCCCCCGGGTCTGGGGAGCGCCCTGGCGTGCTTCGCCGTGCCGTGCTTGGCCGTGCCACGCGCAGAGCAGGCCACGCAGGCCGCGTCCGCCCCGTGTCCGTCGCTTCACTAGTCAGACCGGTCGCGGAGTGGGCCAAGTTGGCGTCCGATTTTACGGTATCCGGCGCAGTGCAGCGCGCAAAGCGCGGCACTCCCACAACCCACGCGCTGAGCGTCCCTCAGCGTCGCGACGCCGCGGTGCAGGAAGAGGCTGGCCGAGGCGGCACGGTGGGCCAGAAGACCGCTGGAGGCGGCCAAAACTCTAGACGCGTTTCGAGCTCCAGAGTCGGTAAACAGGACTCGAACTGAACGTGTGATTCCTCGTTGAGAGAGCAATCTATTGGTGGGGTCACACGTTCGGTTCGAGTCCCATTTAGTGACTCTGGAGCTCAAAACGCGTCTAGAGTTTTGGCCGCCGCCGTCGCCGGTCTTCTGGCCCACTGTGGGCTGGCCGCCCATTTTCTGGGACATTTGTCAAGCCGAGAGAGAGAGCGCCACCAAGCCGTTCACACGGCGTAAATTGCGAGAAAGGGGGAAGCTTCCGAACCTACCTAAATCCAAGCTTAATTTCCAGCTTAGAAAAGACAACCCCGTTTATTGACTCCGGCGTTCGAAATATGTACAACAGTCAGTTTGAAATGGTGATACAATAGGGTTGTGTGTTGCTAGCGTAGTCGGGGGGGAATCAAACTTGTCTTTCCGCTTCTTTACCCACTTCCTTCGAGACCGCGTGTGAGGCACACTGTGTGCGCTCGTGCCGTTCCGTGCTCACTTAGAAGCCTGGGGCTCTGACCTAGTCCTACTCGCAGCGCCCCTCTCGCCGGCGGCGCTTTGGCCCGAGTGAGCGCGCCAATAAGTGGAGGCAGAGAGAGGGGATTAAAAGAGCCGCAGCCACGATCCAGGGAAAGGTTTCCGGATTGTGTATGTGTGCCACGCTCAACTGATCGTCGCCGCCTATCCGGCACATCGGTGCGTTTTTCCGCACGGCGGCGCCGATCAGTTCGTCCTTCCCCAGCACAGTGGTCCAGAAGACCGGTGGAGACGGCCAAAACTCCTGACGCGTTTGGAGCTCCAGAGTTGCCAAATGGGACTCGAACCGAACGTGTGACCCCACCAATGGATTGCTCTCCGAACGAGGAATCCATTGGTGGGGTCACACGTTCGGTTCGAGTCCTTTTTAGCGACTCTGGAGCTCGAAACGCGTCTAAAGTTTTGGCCACCTGCTCCGGTCTTCTGACCCACTGTGCCCAGCGCGCCGTGAAGATGGCGCCTCGGTGGGGACACACTCGGGGAAGCCGAAGACGCGAAGCCGAAGCGACGCGAAACGGTTTCGCGCGGAACTCTTCGCCTTGATTCTTCGTCGGGAAGCCTTCTTGCCGTCTTTTCCAGAGCCGAATTCAGACCCTGGCGGCCGATCCCAGGTCTGCGCTAAGCCAGCAACTCAGCCTTGGTCCTTCTTGCCCGTTCTTGCAGCTCATTGGCTGGGGAGGTGGAGGTGGCTTTGCGGAGCGATGCCGACGGCTCGGCCGGCTCGGCGTCCACGCTGGCGGCGGACCAGGCGCACCTCGTGAACCTCGTGCAGGGCGTCAAGGTCGTCGACGCGGTCCCCGTCGCGGCCTGCACCCGCTGCACGACGTGGCCACAGAGGTGGCGCGCCGGGGCGCGAGATCGCTGCGCGAGACTCTTCGCCTGCTCCTGCTGCACGTCGTGGCCGCGGAGGTGGCGCGGCAGGGCGCGAGAACTCTGCTCGAACCTCTTCGCCTGCTCCTGGACGCCCCGCTGTGTGAGTCCAAGCCCCATAGGGGCGTCGGCGTAGTCATGCGTGTTGTGTGAGGTGGCCGACGTCGCCGACGTCCAGGGGCAGGGCAGGGCCTCGGGCAGGGCGTGGCGCGGCCAAAGCTCTAGACGCGTCTTGAACTCCAGAGTCACTAAATGAGACTCCAACCAAACGTGTGACCCCACCAATGGATTCCTCATTCGGAGAGCAATCCATTGGTGGGGCGTGGTGGGGTCATACGTTCGGTTCGAGTCCCATACAGCGGCTCTGAATCTCCACGCGTCTGGGATTTCGACCGCCTCCACCGGTCTTCTGGCCCACTGTGCGTGGTGCGCGGCGCCCGGGCCTTGGCCGCCGCCCCTGGCCTGGTTCGAATCACAGTGCCGCGCTCAGCTTCCGTCCCCCGTGGCGCCGCAGTGCTCCCTTGCACGTGCCTCATCGCGGAGCCATGGCGGAGCCGCGCCGAGCTTGCAGTCAAAGACTCTCATCATGTTGGCTCAATTAAATACCAATAAAGCCGGACCGGCTCGCGTCGCGCCGACATAGCCGTCTCCCTCGCATTCCGGTGAAGCTCGAAACAATCTTCTCACTCGCTCTCAGGCGAGGCTCCGGCCAATCGCACCCAGCTCGGATTCCCGCCCCGGTCGGTTTGCTCCATCGAATGAGCGTTAGGGGTTCAGGATGTCCAATTTATCGGCAACCAGATTCGCCAGAGTTCAGGTTCGACGACGTAAAGAGTCGATACAGTAAGGCACAAAATTTCCTCGCAGAGAAAAACCTCTGATATTTTTCTAGAAAAATTCGAAGAATTCTTATA